TTTCAACCATTCTGAAACATTCGAAATACAGGATCCACCAAACAGTCGGGGCTGGAGTGCAAGGGGAAAGGGTCCATGGCCTTCTGGGGACCTTGACTCAGCCAAGGGTCAAGGACCTGAATGGGCCTGAGCTGGAAGAACTGGAGTCGACCGGGGTCCGTCCCCCTGAAGTAGGCAAATCAGCCCAGAGCATCTCTTCTTTGCAATGATTATCCACCGCCTGACCCTGGTTTGAGAAGAAACATACCTGCCCAAATTCACATCACGAAGCAGGGGTTTTGGATCTAAGCTTGGAGGGTCATCACAAACTGTGGCTTGCTGGTTCTGATGAAAGAGCAACTGTCGGGTTGTGCTAAACCAGGCTCTGGGAACAGTGCACTAAGGAAGGAGAAGAGGCCCTTTTACATCTCATTAGAGCATGCTTGGTCAATATTTTATCTTGCTTATTTATAAAATAATATTTATCCCACCTTTTGGCCTCACATGGGGTCCATTGTAGCCCATAATCACAACTTAAAAACATAATACTACACAAAAGAGAGCCAGTGTGGTGTAGTGGTTAAGAGCATGGGACTGGGACTGGGACTCAGGCGATCTGGGTTCTAGTCCCCGCTCGGCCATGGAACCAACTGGGTGACTTTGGGCCAGTCACAGACTCTCAGCCCAACCTACCTCACAGGGTTGTTGTTGTGGGGATAAGATGGGGGGGGGGAATGATGTAAGCGGCCTTGGGCCCTTTTTAGGAAAAAGGGGGGAAAAAAAAGGGGGGGGGGGGGGAGTGCTTTTAAAAAATTCGAAGTAAAAACCAGAACTAACGAAATCAACTCTCAGCAGTTGTAGGTATGGGAAATTTGCTTGTTTGTTTTTTCCATTTATTCTCATAACAAGTGTGCCTCAATCACAAGTCTTGGCCAAAAAGGAAAGCCTTAACATGATACTGAAATAGCTGGAGAATTTCTTGGATAAGTTCGATTGTTTAATTTGGGAGCTGATTAATTTGATTTTTGTAAATCATTGGCTTTAGGTGCTGATTCTAAAAGGAGAAGGAAGAGAGCAAACCACAATTGCCCCCTCCCCATGGGGAAATAAGCTTGCCTAGACATAAACACCTCTTTCTACACTGAGCGGTTAATCATTAAGGGACCACAAGTCACTGTTAGATTGCTTTTCCTTCGAGAGAGGCCAGTGGTGTGTTCTCCCATATCACAGATGGGGGAGCGTGGCCGTGGTGGCAGGGAGCAGAGGGCCATCCATGCTGCAGAGAATCCGGGGTGGCGGTTCTTGCAGGCCCTTGGCTCTGCCTGCTGAGGCAAACTGCTAAACTAACCAGTCTCCGCTAAAGTCTGTCTGCTTGACAACTTTAGCAGATACTGGTTGTCCAGATCCATTCCAGTCTGGCTTTTGGGCTGGGTATGGGACAGAGGGAGACTTGGTTGTCCCAGTAAGGCATTGATGTGAGGAGGGCAACTGTGCTAATTCTCTTGGACCTCTCCGAGGCTTTTGATACCATCAGTATCCTCCTGGGCCTCCTAGCTGGATTGGGACTGGGAGGCACAGTGGCTCGGGTCCTTTCCAGAAGAATGTTCCCAGTCCCTGATGCAGGACATCCCCTCCCCGGTGGTCTTTGGGGTGCCGCAGGGTTCCATCTTGTTTCTGCACTGTTTAGGGTACCCATGAAGCCACTGGGAGGAATCCTCCAGGTGGGTGGGCTGGAGTGGCATCAGTCTGTGGTTGATACTCAGCTCTTACCTCTCAGATCTATGCCCTGATCCCATGGAAGCTGTGGCACTCCTGTATGGATGTCCGGAGGTGGTCTGGGGCTGGATGAAGGCAAACAAGCTGGCTCCATGGCCGAGCGGGGACTAGAACCCAGACCGTCTGAGTCCCAGTCCCACGCTCTTAACCACTACACCACACTGGCTCTGAACAACTAAAAGACTGAAATACAGGTAGTTAAAATACTCCCCCACCCCCAAAAGAAAGAAAGACAGAATAAAATACTGTATCGAACAGACTGCCAAGTAATAGTTAAAACAGCCATGCAAAACTAGAAATAGGTATCTAGAATGCTTGATGAAAAGAAGGCTGTTTTCCTCCTCGTGCCAAAAAGATAACAATGGGAAGTTCGTTCCGTAAGCAGGATGCCGCAACCAGGAAAGGCCTCTAGTAGCCACCCAAAGGAGTGCCCCAAAATGACATAATGGTCTGAGCAGGTACAACAGAAGGAGACCGTCACAGACTGGGTTGAAACCGTTCAGGACTTTAAAGGGCAATACCAACCTTAGATGCCTCCCGTAGAATTCTCTAGAAAGATTTGCTTACGTTTTGATATAAATTCTTATTGGTTTAGGCTGACGTGTTTGTTGTATGATGCTACTTATCTGCTGTAATGTGGCTTTAATGTGGGATGTTTTCGTGTATTGTACAACTTGTAACTTTTGTAGCTTACCCTAGGAAGAAAGAGCAAAAGAAGGAAAGCATACAGTGTCATTTGAACCAGAAATCTAGGCTTGACACTCCCAGACTAGCTAGGATTTGTAAGCAAGAACAGAGCCTGGTTTAATATTCTATAATGCACAGGATCCTGCAACAAGCCAGGGTCCCTGCTTTGAAGAAAACAAACCTGTGTTGAAGAGAATCCATGGTGTGTTGCTTGTGGTCCACAACTCATGTTAAACAGGGTCTCTCCCTCATCTGTGATTCAGTGACAACACGTATTCAGTCTATGTGCTGGGTTGTCATATGCGAACCAGTTCAGTGACTCAGTTCTCATGTAACAGTGGCAAATTGTGGGTTAATTAAACCATGGTTTGCTGTGTGCATGCTGAGGGTCTTCTGTGGCCATTTTGAATGATCAGGCTGATCAGGAGTTGTTATGAAATGTCTAAATGAAGTAATGAGTAGTTCAGTTAAACTGTGTGTTTGTTAAACCATGATTAACCTATAGTGTCTGAGTGTGATCATCATGTTGCAACTGCTGATCAACTCAGTTAGGGGTTGAACGTGCCCAGCACAAAGTTAATTAACCACAATCTGCCACTGTTACATGTGAACAACCCAATGTAACCTTTCGATTCTGGCTTCATTTAGTGCAGTACTAGGCAATTACTATGGGTCTGGGGCCAATTGCTGTACCCCAGAACCCACTGAGGGCCGCACCAACCAATTATCACCAAATTTCAGCAGCACTGTAGCAGTAAAAAGTCACATTATCTGTTTGAAACAAGGTGTCTGGAAAAGGCATGACTTCAGATATAAAAATCTCACTTGCAGAAGCTCCTTGCATGCCCTGCGACTGAAAAGCAGTGGTGTTGCGGTGGTGGGGACCCCTAAGAAGAACAAGGGGGCACGTGGGCCATGGCTTTGTGTTTCCTACTCCCAAAAAAGCCAAGCAGGAGTGAACAGGCTGCATCCCTGGAATCCAGTCTTTTTGCTCCATGTGAACATAGCCAGTGTTTCCCAGTAAGTTCATGGTAGATGGGACTTTTGCACCCCTTGGCTTCCTTATTCCCAATTCATCCATTGTATTCATTCGTAGACTCTCCTCCTGTATAATAAAGTTGGCACCAGCCATAAAGTTGCTAGAGCAATCAAGTCAAATGAAACACACACAACCAGGCAAAGCTGGGGCAGTGCAAGAAAAAACCAGGAGAAAGGATATCACAACAAATCTTGAATTTTTGGCCCTCTTGTGTTTACTGGGAACACCTGTCTTTTCCTGCTTGTGCAAATCTGACCTTGAAAATTCACACTGCGCTTTAATATCTCGTACAGTTAACAGCATGGTGCTAAATTCACTTGGGGTTTGGCCTGCTCATTGGTGAGGCCCGGTCTACCTCGCTGGGTAGTTGTGAAATTGAATGAGCTGGAGTTGCGTGGCTGGTTTGGTGAATGGCTACCCAAATTAATGCCAGCAAAATAGCAGGAACCCAACAGGCATGCAACTAAAGTTGCACAGACACATGTGCTAGCATTTGATTCCTGAACCGCAGGTACCTTGCACGGTGCATGAATGCTCTCCCCTCCCCTCCCATACATGAATACACAGAGAGTTTCTCTCTCACACACACAGCTCCAGACAGCAGGACGACTGTAGCTAATAGAGTTTGGCTGATCCCCCTGCAGGGCTATGATGAGATGGACAAAATGGGGAAAGGGAAAGGGGAGGGGAGGCAGACAAGGGAGGCAAGGCCGAGAGAGCTTGGGCTGCAGATGAGGCGGATCGGATGAGTGACAGCCAGGCCTGGCATGCGGAGGGATGCACAGACAGTTGTTTGTCTGTCAGGGCTGCACGCAGGCATCTGACCCACAGGGCAAGGGTGGAGCTGCCTGCTCCAGGAACCGGGACATCTGCTCCAGTGCAAAGCCAGCCCCCTTTCCATTCTTTTCGGTGACCTTGAGCAGGAACCATTGAGCCTTGGACAAGACGCAGGAGCCTCTCACCTCTGGGTTGCCTCCCCGGCACAAATGGCTTTCGGAGTCAGGGAGGTGGCCCGTGGGGTGGAGAGGAGCACAGCTGCAGAGCTGGCCAGCCATGAAGTTGTGTGTTGCTCTCTGTATCTGCACCACGCACACTTGCAGAGAACCCCCAAGACAAACTGGCCATTTGGTGGCGGTGGTGTTTAGGGTGCAGCTCGGGAAATGCCTTTCTGCACTTAGTGGTGGCGTCAACACACCTTTCCCAGCCCCGGCCCTCTATCTTGACCAGGAAATGAAGGCAGCAGGAGCCTTTCTAAAGGCCTGTAAGATTAGAGCACATGGCTATGGAGAGGGGGAAATGCTGCGGCCCTTCCACCTGGCCCTTTCCCGGCCCTCAGCGCTGCCTGCAGCTCCAACACCCCCCGCCCCCCCCACGCACACGCACAACCACAGGCAGGGCACGGTCGGACCCTTCGCAAGCGAGCAACATTCCCCGCTTCGTCAAACCTCCTCGGTCTTCTCCCTTCTTTGCATGCTCTCCCTGCTTCACACACTCAGGTCTGTGTGCTTCCCTTTAACAGATGGGAGCGCCATCGCCTGCCAGCCCGTTGGACTGGAAAACGGAGCCAACCCGCCGGCCGAATGGTTCCCACGCAGCCAGGGCCCGGGGCTGCGGCAGCCCAACAGTGAGGTGGATGGTGCTGAGAGGAACTTCAGGGTGAACCTGCACTGCAAGCACGGGCGTCCCAGGTAAGGGGCAGGCAGGGGGCCCGGCAAAGTCCTGCCTTATCCCGTGGGCATGAGAGCCTGTGCTCCATTTCTGAACCTACCCTATGCTTGGGTCAGGCAGGAGAGGACAAAGCAAGAAGGGGAGAATGCTGGGTTGGTGGAGAAGGCCCAGACTTGAGCTTGGTGCAGGCAGGCAGCAGGCTGGAAGGGTGGAAGAGACTCCGGCACTTCCAGACTGCAGATCTGAATGGCCTTTTCCCACGTTAAACAACAAACCAGCGTTTCCTGCACATGGGAAACCAGTACATCAGTGCCTACCACACTACTGTTCTGTCTGCAGGGAGTTGTATTTTTCTAAAACATGGAGGATGCAGTCAAAGGTGGGATTCCCCCACCTGCTGTGTTGTAGTTCTGTATATTCAGTCCCTCAGTATTTGGCCCTCTGTCTGCCTGTCTGTCTGTCACCTGCATGTTTGAGAAGACCAGCTAATCTCAGTGGAGGAAGGAGATGGGTTTTTGAACAGACGAGGTATCAGGCAGGGATCTCCCAGTACTGATCCCAAGCAGGGAACCATTCTATATTTAAAATGCAGTACAGGGCACCTGCTAAATTTCGCACTAAACATGAAATTCTGGAGTGGTTGCATATTTCTACTGTTCTTTTGCTAATTCGCATTTCCACTAGCTGAGAGCCAAAGAGTTATGCAGGGCACGGGACCCCCTGTCCACAGGCGCCTGGAAGCCCTGTCTCTGCCTTGTTCATGGCATTTCTGTTACGGGATTCCATCACCCATGGCTTCTGGTATAACTTGGCTGCCTAAGGACTAGTGTCCTGTTTGTTTAGCTTTTGAGAAAGCAAGCAAAGGCTCAGAGGATTCTCAAAACCCCGCAGGACCCAGTCTCCTGCCTTTGTGCAGTGCAGCTGTGAAACACACACACACGCACCACCCCAGCCACAGTCCTCCAAGGAGCCAGTCGTTCCACCCTGCTGTCTTTGGCCCCGTTTGACAGAAGTATGGCGGGGAGGGGGGGTCAGGGGAGGAAATGCATGGGGGGGAGAGTGCGCACACACTGGCTCTTGTTTCCACCAGCTCCCCTCCCTCCCTGCTGCTCTCCAGGGTTCTGCGGGTCCCTGCTGTGCACTGCAGCTTTCCTGACCCTTCTCACTCCACATCTGGCCAAGAGTTGCCTGGAAACAGCGGGTGGGGGGAGAAGGGAAGGGAGGAGTGTTCTCACAGGAACGGGGTGGGAGTGCAGGGAAAGTCAGGAGGAAAGCCAGGTCTGCGGCGGACATTGGATCCCTTCCTTCTGAATGCTTGCTGGACAGTGTCAGGAAGCTTGGGGGCAGATGGGGAGGGAGCGGTAGGCTGGTGGGGGAGCAGCCCCCAGAGTGGAACGAAAGGGGGGCTCTGAGTGGACGCAGGGGGCCGGAGGGCGACGATCCTTTGCAGGCAGTGGGGACGGGTGGAGGGGAGCAGATGGGTCCTGTAGGTGCAACGCAGCCGGGCCGGGCCTGCCAGAGGACTGAGGTCACTTCCTGCAGCGGCTTTCTGCGATGTGGAGCCCTCCGAGCAGCACGGCAAGGGAGGGAGGGAGGGAGGGAGGGAGGGGCTGTGCCGCGCTGGCTGGGGCTAGCAATGGAAAGGTTTCGGTGCCAAGGCAGGGAGGGGGGAGGAGAGGCCTGGGCCTCTTTGAAATAACATGTGAAAGATGTTTAGGGGGGAAGGGGGAGTATGCAGCCTTTGGAAAGAGCTTGGGCTGCCTGCCTCCCAAAACCCAGATGAGGCACTTCCCAAAGCAGGCACCCTGGTGCTCAAAGGAGGCTTGCAACGCCAAAGGATGCTTGCGCATTGCACTTACCGGTGGGTCCCCCCACCAGCTCTGCAGCCCAGGGTTTCATGAGTGTGGCATGTGGGGATCAAAGGTATTAATGTGTCCCCCTCCAACACGCAGAGAGCATGAATTGACGAGCTGAATTATGTTCTAATACCTTCCAACAGATGCATCTGTCTTCGCATCAACAAATGTTTTGAATCGCCCCCTTTCCGAGGCTTGTGGGTGGGGTTACATCTGAGAAATGGTGGGCGTGATCTAGCCAAAGTTAAGCATTTTTCAGAGCTCCAGTCGTGGCACCAGAGAAAAGGGGAGCACGTGCTAAGATCCCACGCAGAAATCAGCAGGACTTCAGGATGCCCTTAACGGCAGCTGAGTTGTGCCAATAGATGCGAAACAAGTTATTGTTACAGTAAAATCGCAAATACGACAAGCAATCCAAATAAGTTAGGTACAATGAGAAACAAAAATATAACTGGCCATTTATCCATGCATCTTAACTGGGATTTTAAAAACATCCGTATCACTTTCTAGGCCCAAGGTGTTCTTGTTGAGTTGATCTAGACCAGCTTTTCACTCGGTTGTATCCTATAAGTGGCACCTACAACAAAACGTTGCCTCATGGGCAAACACAGGCAGCCAGACATGCTCTTTTCTAGGATACTCTATTTCATCCCCTCCTTACTCCCATTTTCCCATTTCACTCCCCCACTCAGGGAAAAAACCAGCCTTGAAATGTCCCCAACCCGGCTCATAGCTCCTCCTCGGTCATCGCCCGAGTAGAAGAATCTGGGACGTTCTAGCCTCTCTCCAGTTCAAAGTTCTCTCCAGTTCAAAGTTCATGATGCCTTTCATTTTCCCTTTCATTTGAACAAGAAAGGTGTGTATTTTGAATGGAGAAAATGTTTTAGGAGATGCACAGTTTTGATCCTTTGGCTTAAGTGTGAAAATGTATGTTTTCGGATTTTCCAAGAGCATTTTAAAGTGTGCATTAAAAACAGCAACACAATTTTGAGCACGATCACACCTTCAGATATGTTAAAGCTTCTCCTGAGCAATGTGTTCCAGTTTGCATTCAGGGTTGTGAATGGAACAGGTTCTGATGATTTCCGAACTGAAACAAAAACTTCATACATCCCTATTGAAGCATGGATGTTGTGGCTACAGCTACCTGAGGGCTGGCACTCAGAGAATGTGCTGGCGATTGGTACATGTGATATATTGGATTGTTTTAATTTTAGGAAAATGATATCCTGCTTTTCCTGAGCTTAGACTAGTAACATGCAAAGCTGAAACTGTGAAATGCAGAAAGCGGTGATAAAAGTAAAACAATGTATGTTGCAAACTCTTTAAAATGCTGAGCAGGGGGATGCACTGTTGCGCTGAGCTGAGCTGGCTTGTTCCCAAGGGAAAGGACCTTCTCCCCTTGCTTGTTTTTCCAGAGAAGGTTCCAGAATTACCTCTGCTTCCTTAAGCACAGCCTGCAAGTCTGGGGCGCTTTCCCACCAGACTGGAGCCTTGGGGTTTGTCCACATAGTGGCTTTTGTCGGGGCTTGGCTGCATTCCTTCCGCAGGGCAACAGTGGTGATCTCTCTCTGAGCGATGTGACAGTTCCAGGGAGAGGTGGGAGAAACAGGCCACTGAGCCTCTCTCTGCTGTTGCCGCATTTCTTAGGGAAATGGCATGCAAGCCTGCATCCAGCATGGTGGTTTCCGTTTTCCAGGTATTGCTCCTCACACCTCCAATGTAGTTTTTAAGCAGGAAAATCCAGTGTGAGATTTTCTTCTGGGCCAGGATTTAGAACAGTTCTTTAGTATGAATGTGAGAGTTGTGCTCTTTGGGAGTTCATTACCTAATTACAGCAACTAATAAAGCTTCTATTGATTGTAGTGCTCTCCTGAAATACACCCAAGCATTTCACCCTTACAACCCTGTAAGGCAGGCCCTTGGTCACTCTGCTTATTTGTCACATCTTTCTCTCATCCTGCCCCCAGAGGAGTTCTGTGTGGCTTGGAAGTTTCTCTTCCCATAGATCAGGCTGAGAAAGAAGTACTATTTCCTATTATGGCTGAGGAGTGCAGAGGCCAGGAGAACAGGGGTTTATCGAATGAGGGAATGGGGAACCAGTGGCCGTTGCATCTGTCTGTAACTCCTTGACCACTGGGCATGCTGCTTGGGCTGATGGATGTTTGAACCTAACAATACACAGTTCCTTGCCTTTGATCTAGAGCTTCCTGTTTATTAAACTGAGCCGTATACTTGAGACTGCCCAACTGTGTAGTTCATTATCTTAGCATATAACGCTGCACTGACCCTACATTTTGAAGTCCAAGCTTAAATCTCTGTTGAAAGAGTTACAAATTATGCTTGGTTTTGGTTTTCTGGAGTGTTTTCTTCTCTCCTTCCCCATATACATATACGGTGATGGGAAATCACAGTGTAAAGCCGGGGGTGACAAGTCTTTCTGTCAAGGGCCACAAGAGATGCACAAGGAGGTGGTAGTCACTATTAACAGTGTTCTTCAACTTGTTCTGTTCCAGTTGGCCACCGTTCCCACATACAGCTCAACTGGGAAAGGGAAGCACTTTCCCATGGAAGCCAGTGTCGCTTAGCATACCTGGAGGGCACCAGCCTGAAGGACACTGCCCTGTTGGGATGGGGTCTCAGTCTGCTCTCAGTTGCAGGTGACCGTCCCCATCTCTGCCAGGCTGTGGAGGACCATCATTGGCATGGCTCATTGGCATAACTCCATGTGGGGTTGTCCATGCTTGGTCATGTTGCAGCACGGTGGAATATTGGGATCTGTTGAGATGCACAGTTCGCTGTTTTAGTCCAAGGCTTCGTGAAAAGATTTCAAAAAGCACACAGGTTGGTGTGAAATGTAAGCGTTTGTTAGGGTTGGGATTGCATGAAAGGTCCATCTGAGGATATGCTGTTGTGAGCTGTCCTGTGGCTATGCAAAGGATGGCATAGAAATGTTTTAAATAAGGAAATGGATAAATCTGTCCCAGGCACGGTCAGCGGCTCTTGGGAAGGTCTCAGACAAGGCATGACAGTGAAAGGTACCTCCTGTTCTCATTGGCTGCCATCTTAGTTGTGACGATGGCACTGCAGGTGTGATAGAAAAGCCAGCAGAGAAGCCACTGAGAGACCTTCCTTCCGCAAGCTGGCTAAATCCTTCTATGTTC